TCTCCTTCGCCCAGGCTAGACCCTGCACCCCTCTGCAAGTTGCTTCTCAAAGCAAAACCTATGGCTTCTCTGCCTGTTATCAATCAATCAATCAATCAATCAATAAATAAATAAATAAAAGCACCCCTGTTGGGCTTTACCCCGCCTTTGCTGCTGGCCTCATTCCCACGTCCTGACCCCGCCCCGCCCAGACCTAGCCCCGCCCCACCATGGCCTCAATCTGCACAACTGTCCTGATTCCTGTTAGATTCCACTCAATGCCAAAGGCCCGTCCCATAGACTCCCGAAACTGCCTGTCGCGTGGTCTTACCACTTTCCAGACTCCCACCCCATCAATAACTTCCCGCTCCTGAAACCTTGGGCACCAGGGAACCTGTTTCTCACTGTCTCTCCAAGTCCCATCCCTCCCGAGGTCTCGCCCTGTCCCACACTCAGCCTTGGCCCACCTTGCTGAAGCGCGGAGAGCAGGAAGAGAACTGGCGGATTTCCACGGGCTCCTCCTCCGTCGTGTCATCCTCGTCATAGGAGTTCACATGGTGATACCTGTCTGAGCGGGCTGGGGAGCGGGTATGGGCTGTGACTGCGGGTACGTGTTTCCTCCTCATATCACATTCCCGCAGGAGCCCAGTCCTGGTTCAAGCCCGGTTTACAAGTCTTCAGGTCAGGCCACGTCCGTGCCTCATTAGTGTATTTAATTTAGTCTCCGCTCCCAGGCTAGGTCCTTGCCCCATTCTCAGTGGCACCGTCTAGCCCCGCCTCCAAAGATGCCACGCCCCCAGATTCCACCTACAGTGCTCTGCACCCTGGCCTCACCCCAGGCCATTCTGAGCGCTAGTACCTCTCTCTAGCTCAGTTACAGGCCCAAGCTCACAACTAACCCCAGTCCACGCCCCACACCCACCCCAATCTCAGGTTCTTACCTACATTTCAGCCTGAGCCCCACCCCATGTCAGCCCCGCCCCATTGGCCCCGCCCCTGATAAAGTCCGCCCCCGCCAAAATACCACCTTTGCACCTAGGCATCACATCTAAGTACTTAGCCGGGCCCTATCCCAGGCTTTACTTACCCCAGGGTCCCTCTTCCCGGATCCCACCCCTCGACCCAGGCCGTGCCTGGTGTCCCAGCTCACTGTCAAAGTAGCTAGTGTCATCTTCCGACTCTAGGTGGGGGATGAACTCGGCCTTCTGCCTCAGCAGCCCTGTCCAGTCCAGGTCTCGAAAGAAACTGTGCTGCTTCACCTCAAAAGCGCCACCTGGGAGGGAAGGAATTCCAGCCACAGCTGATGGCCAACCCAGCAGCGGAGCCCCGCCCCCCATGTCTTCCGCCCCGGGGCCACAGCACAGGCTGGGCCTGGGGTTTTGGAGTCCTGCTCTCCATCAGTGGACCCTCAGCTCCTCTGCACGGCAGACTTACCTGCCCCAAGCCTGACCAGAGGGTTGGTCTGCAGGAGGCTGGATATGAGGAGTTGGGCCTCTGTGGGTAGGGCTTCATCCCCCTCGGGCCACAGGATGTCATCTGCAAAACAAAACGAAGTTTAGGGGCGTTTTTGTTGTTGTTGTTGTTGTTTGGAGACAGGATCTCACTGTGTCACTCAGCTGAAGTGCAGTGGCACGATCATGGCTCACTGCAGCCTTGACCTCCTGGGTACAAGCAATCCTCTGGGGGGTCGCTTTGAAGTCCCTGGAACACTGGGCCTGTCCATCTCTCCATGCACACCACGCCCTGCCCCTGTGCACTGCAAAGCCACGTACCACTGATGACCTGTCCAAACAGCTCCTCTGGCGTGTCTCCGAAGAAGGGCACACAGCCCACCAGGAACTCGTAGAGGATGATCCCCATGGCCCACCAGTCCACTGGCTTGCCGTAGCCTTGACGCAGGATGACCTCGGGCGCGATGTACTCTGGGGTCCCACACACCTGGGGGCAGGCTGTCAGCCCACGCCCTGGCCACAGGAGGGCCCTCGAGGGAGAGCTGTGCCCCCCACCAGGCCCTGGGTTCCCGAGGTCCTGCCGGGTCACTCCACCCGCAGCGACCCCCACGCCCGCACACACACCTGTTTGTCCAGGAACTCCCGGGCGTCCTTCTCGATGTGGCCTTCATATAAGTTGGTGGTAAGGCTCATGAGCCCCATTTTGGAAAGGCCGAAATCTGTGAGCTTGATGTGACCCATGGAGGTGATAAGGAGGCTGTAGGCACAGGCGGGGGTCTCAGGGATGAGGCCCGGCCCGTCCATTCTGCCTCCTGGCCTCCCAAGGGGCAGAGAGGGAGTGATGGGAAAGATCAAAGCTCACTTGTCAGGCTTGAGGTCGCGGTGCACGATGCCATAGTTGTGCAAATACTCCAGGGCTAGCACCGTCTCGGCAAAGTACATGCGGGCCATCTCTACCGGCAGCGCTCCGATATTCTTCAGCAGAGTGGCACAGTCGCCGCCTGCAGGCCAGGAAATGGGCCCACGTAAAGAGAGCATGCACCATAGCACCAACTTCCCATGTTATGTACCCATTTTACAGATAAAGGAAACTGAGGCTCTGAGAGGTGCCTCCCTCTCTCCAGGTCCTCTAATGGGTTCTTCTCTTTTTTTTCTTCTTTTTTTTTTTGAGATGGATTCTCACTCTTTGTCGCCCAGCCTGGAGTGCAGTGGCATGATCTCGGCTCACTGCAAGTTCCGCCTCCCCAGGTTTATGCCATTCTCCTGCCTCAGCCTCCC